TATGTTATATTATGTTTGAAAATTCTCGCCGTTGGCTTCTGAGCTATATAGTTCCGATAGGCGGCCGATAGGTGACAACGGTGTCGCTAGGGAAATTATTAATTTGTTAATTTTCGATGAAAAATGCAATAAATCATGAAAATAATGATGGAGCAATGCGAAGCAATTAAGGAGCAATCGTTTTATGTTATATTATGTTTGAAAATTCTCGCCGTTGGCTTCTGAGCTATATAGTTCCGATAGGCGGCCGATAGGTGACAACGGTGTCGCTAGGGAAATTATTAATTTGTTAATTTTCGATGAAAAATGCAATAAATCATGAAAATAATGATGGAGCAATGCGAAGCAATTAAGGAGCAATCGTTTTATGTTATATTATGTTTGAAAATTCTCGCCGTTGGCTTCTGAGCTATATAGTTCCGATAGGCGGCCGATAGGTGACAACGGTGTCGCTAGGGAAATTATTAATTTGTTAATTTTCGATGAAAAATGCAATAAATCATGAAAATAATGATGGAGCAATGCGAAGCAATTAAGGAGCAATCGTTTTATGTTATATTATGTTTGAAAATTCTCGCCGTTGGCTTCTGAGCTATATAGTTCCGATAGGCGGCCGATAGGTGACAACGGTGTCGCTAGGGAAATTATTAATTTGTTAATTTTCGATGAAAAATGCAATAAATCATGAAAATAATGATGGAGCAATGCGAAGCAATTAAGGAGCAATCGTTTTATGTTATATTATGTTTGAAAATTCTCGCCGTTGGCTTCTGAGCTATATAGTTCCGATAGGCGGCCGATAGGTGACAACGGTGTCGCTAGGGAAATTATTAATTTGTTAATTTTCGATGAAAAATGCAATAAATCATGAAAATAATGATGGAGCAATGCGAAGCAATTAAGGAGCAATCGTTTTATGTTATATTATGTTTGAAAATTCTCGCCGTTGGCTTCTGAGCTATATAGTTCCGATAGGCGGCCGATAGGTGACAACGGTGTCGCTAGGGAAATTATTAATTTGTTAATTTTCGATGAAAAATGCAATAAATCATGAAAATAATGATGGAGCAATGCGAAGCAATTAAGGAGCAATCGTTTTATGTTATATTATGTTTGAAAATTCTCGCCGTTGGCTTCTGAGCTATATAGTTCCGATAGGCGGCCGATAGGTGACAACGGTGTCGCTAGGGAAATTATTAATTTGTTAATTTTCGATGAAAAATGCAATAAATCATGAAAATAATGATGGAGCAATGCGAAGCAATTAAGGAGCAATCGTTTTATGTTATATTATGTTTGAAAATTCTCGCCGTTGGCTTCTGAGCTATATAGTTCCGATAGGCGGCCGATAGGTGACAACGGTGTCGCTAGGGAAATTATTAATTTGTTAATTTTCGATGAAAAATGCAATAAATCATGAAAATAATGATGGAGCAATGCGAAGCAATTAAGGAGCAATCGTTTTATGTTATATTATGTTTGAAAATTCTCGCCGTTGGCTTCTGAGCTATATAGTTCCGATAGGCGGCCGATAGGTGACAACGGTGTCGCTAGGGAAATTATTAATTTGTTAATTTTCGATGAAAAATGCAATAAATCATGAAAATAATGATGGAGCAATGCGAAGCAATTAAGGAGCAATCGTTTTATGTTATATTATGTTTGAAAATTCTCGCCGTTGGCTTCTGAGCTATATAGTTCCGATAGGCGGCCGATAGGTGACAACGGTGTCGCTAGGGAAATTATTAATTTGTTAATTTTCGATGAAAAATGCAATAAATCATGAAAATAATGATGGAGCAATGCGAAGCAATTAAGGAGCAATCGTTTTATGTTATATTATGTTTGAAAATTCTCGCCGTTGGCTTCTGAGCTATATAGTTTCGATAGGCGGCCGATAGGTGACAACGGTGTCGCTAGGGAAATTATTAATTTGTTAATTTTCGATGAAAAATGCAATAAATCATGAAAATAATGATGGAGCAATGCGAAGCAATTAAGGAGCAATCGTTTTATGTTATATTATGTTTGAAAATTCTCGCCGTTGGCTTCTGAGCTATATAGTTTCGATAGGCGGCCGATAGGTGACAACGGTGTCGCTAGGGAAATTATTAATTTGTTAATTTTCGATGAAAAATGCAATAAATCATGAAAATAATGATGGAGCAATGCGAAGCAATTAAGGAGCAATCGTTTTATGTTATATTATGTTTGAAAATTCTCGCCGTTGGCTTCTGAGCTATATAGTTTCGATAGGCGGCCGATAGGTGACAACGGTGTCGCTAGGGAAATTATTAATTTGTTAATTTTCGATGAAAAATGCAATAAATCATGAAAATAATGATGGAGCAATGCGAAGCAATTAAGGAGCAATCGTTTTATGTTATATTATGTTTGAAAATTCTCGCCGTTGGCTTCTGAGCTATATAGTTTCGATAGGCGGCCGATAGGTGACAACGGTGTCGCTAGGGAAATTATTAATTTGTTAATTTTCGATGAAAAATGCAATAAATCATGAAAATAATGATGGAGCAATGCGAAGCAATTAAGGAGCAATCGTTTTATGTTATATTATGTTTGAATATTCTCGCCGTTGGCTTCTGAGCTATATAGTTTCGATAGGCGGCCGATAGGTGACAACGGTGTCGCTAGGGAAATTATTAATTTGTTAATTTTCGATAAAAATTGCAATAATTCATGAAAATAATGATGGAGCAATGCGAAGCAATTAAGGAGCAATCGTTTTATGTTATATTATGTTTGAAAATTCTCGCTGTTGGCTTCTGAGCCATATAGTTTCGATAGGCGGCCGATAGGTGACAACGGTGTCGCTAGGGAAATGATTAATTTGTTAATTTTTGATAAAAAATGCAATAAATCATGAAAATATTAATGGAGCAATGCGAAGCAATTAAGGAGCAATCTTTTTATGTTATATTATGATTGAATATTCTCGCTGTTGGCTTCTGAGCCATATAATTCCGAAAGGCGGCCGATAGGTGACGACGGCGTCGCTAGGAAAATGATTAATTTGTTAATTTTCGTTACGGGTCGGCAGGAGAGACAGTAGAGACCTCTCGCGGGAAGCCGTGAATTACGAATTCGCTTCTCCCGTATTACGGCCAAAAAATAAAGAGAATCATGTTAAACCTGTGATATTTGTAATCAGTAGGATCATCCGCAGTCCTGTACAGAGCTATTTTTTTTTCAAAAAAAAGAGTTAAAATAATATTTTATAAGTTGACAAGAAAGGTACATACTAGGTACAGCTCATGGCGGATTAGGTGCAGTTGGCCATGAGTTGTATTTCATTTATTATAAATTTTTAAGAGCCAAAATGCTAAATTCGGCTCTGTACAGGACTGCATAATTATATAAAGAATTTATTAAAAAAAGGGCAATATCTGTTAGAACAGACGTGGCTGAATGGGTTAGATATCTACTGGATGTTCTCAATGTGCATTAGAAATATCCATGAATATGTAGGAAACATCTATTAGACACGCTTTAAATATCCAAATACGAGATCTTATAAATACCCACAGGATATGTAGGCCAATATTTACAGGATATCCACATTAGCATTCAATGGATATTTATGTAGATATCCAGTGGATATTCGTGCAGATATCCATCGCATGTTGGTTAAATTTTGGTCACAAAATGACTAATTAAATGTTTTAAGTTAGGTCTCATAAGACTCGAATTTGACGTCGATATGTCTCATTTACGGAACATTATTTTCTGACGTTTGTTTGATGGTAAAACTAAGATCAATTAGTAATAATATACAGGGTGAGTCATTTTAATCAACGCACGCAAATATCTCGTAAAGTAAGCAAGATGGAAAAAAATGTTTTATACAAAAGTTGTAGGGTTCAGAGGGGGACATATGATGAAAGTATGGACTTGACCTTGAGTGACCTTTTCAAGGCCAAGTCAATGTGATCGATATTTTCTTAAATGGAACCCCCCATTTTTTATTCATTTTTTATTTTATATTCTTGTAGCTTATCTCGAAAGCTTTTGAAAACACTATAATAAAGTATTTTTTCATTAAGTACTTTTTGAGTTATTTTATATTTTATTCTGACATATTTTGATATAAAAAATAAAATATCTCGTAAAATATTCAGTTTTTGATAATCTTACCATAATACTTTTATGTATACAAATGAAAGAAGAAAAGTATTTGCATCTGTAGGTTTTGAATAACCGTGAAAAAGTCCCACTAAGAAAGGTTCTGTATGAAAATTAGCATTAATTGCTACAAGCAATGGCCAAAATTGACTTGTTGAACTTAGAGATATTGCAGCACCATCACAATTAAATTGAATCAAGATTATATTTGGACAAGATTGAAAATATTTTTCAATTGAACGTTTTAAACCGTTTTCTATACCGAAATGTACATAACTTCCACCATTTCCATATTTAATTTTATATTTAGTTTCCCTTGGTGTATTCATTAGTGTTCGAACATCTTTAGGTAAATCTCGTATTTCAAGATTATCATTACAATTACGTAAAATTGCTAATAATGTATTGACTAACCTATGTGATATTCGATATTTTAAAATCCATGATCGTAAATTATCAGTTAACTTTCTAGAACCTACAGAGATTGTAGAGAATTGGTTGCTTTCATACAGATATCTGAATTTATTATTATCTTTTATTTCAATCAAACTTTTTTGAGATTCATAATCTAGATTTAGGAATGTTTCATTGAATAATACATTGACATCATTGATTTCTTGATATTGCGATTGCGAAGCTGAATCTATTATAGCAGGATCATTGTTTACCGACATACTGTTATCATCAAATAATGAATTGATGTATATATTACAATTAACATTTTGACTTGAATTTTCATTATTCACATCTTTAAATTTAAGTAACTGTTATTTAATTAATTGACTCTTCCTACGTTTTGATAAAAATCTAATCTCTTTTGGCATCTTTAAACTTTACTCATAAAATATTTTATGAACTAAACTAGGAACTAAACTAAATATTAAAAATTATAATTCACAAAAATTAAAAGTAAATGTAATAATAAAAAATAAGAGAATTGAATTGAATTTAAAATTTCAATTTTTCAATTTGTAATGTGCTATAGAACGCAGAAATTCGGAAGAAAAAAATACTACATACTGTAAAGTTTGAATTATGGATCCAATGTATCTTGCGTCTGATGTCTTGTGTTGCTCTTTTCACATTTTCCATAACGCTGATTCGCATATCTGAACCATTCTGCACAAGTATCATAAAATTCAATATCTTTTAATGTAGAATCCCTGCCGAAAATGGTCGATTAAAACGGATTTAAAAGAATGTAATCCGAATCGATCGGGATTTCTGCACCGAAAATGCGGTATTAAAACCGATTGAAAATAGTCAAATCGAATTTAGTACGCTTCAGCGTCCAAAAGAGTATCTATAATAAAATCAAAGTCAACATTAATCATTTTCAGTTTAATAATTTATTTAACAAGCAAATATATTGTGAATATCTGTTCACATAATTATATCGTCGGCTTACAAGTAAAACACACTAAGTCTAAATTTTTCGATTTCAAGTTTCCTAGATCAATTTGACCGAAATGTCGGTTTCTTTAAACTGGTACAATCCACCAAGTCATTACTTTTATTAAAATTGTAATGAAATAGTAATTCAATGACCTAATAAGTAAAGTTTATTGTAAGAGTGATAATGGTGAAAAAGGACACTTCAAATAAATTAAAATCATCACGTGATTTTTTGACTTAATGTGTTTTACTTTTAAGCCGATAATATTGTCATACCTCTAATGATTTTTAGTATGGTCAATTTCTCAATGCCGTAATTATTTTTCCTTCCTTTCAGAGAGCATTGTTTTGCTAATCTGTCATCAAATATTGAAGACAATACTCGCTTAATATTTTCACGAGCTGAATGTCCACCAATTTTTCCAATAAAAGTTTTCTATAATAGACATATTTTAATGAAAAACCGAGGATTTATAATGATAATTGTGAATTTATCTAATCTTACTAAAATATAAACTATCATTTCAACTTACATATTCAACGAGATTTTTCTCTTCTTTCAAGAATCTCTCAAAGTTATTAATTTCTTCAATTGACGTCAATGGTAGCAATTTTCTTATATTTTCTGTAGGACCACAAATTTTCACAATAGGTGTAATGCGATCCACTCGTTGTTGTATGTCATTAAAATCAAATTGGAAAACAGCACATATTCTCGTTAGATTGTCCAATTTTTCTGTGTTAAATAAAATTATAGTCTTTCATTAATAATATAAAATTATCAAATAAAAATCATTTTTTGATTACAAACCTTCTATTCTTTTCAAAATACTAATAAGGTCACTTCTTTTATCACGATTTTCATTATACCGTAATATAGATGAAGTTGATTCTTGTACTTTATTTGATGCTTCCAAATCATGATTTGATTGAGACGATCTTATTGATTTTGTAGTTATATTTTGATTTTTAGAATTATTGTAATGCTGCACAAGAAGCGGTGGAATACATGGCAATTTGGTCGTTTTATTTTTTTCTGAAGTAGCAATCTCTTCATTACTTTCATTACCAGAAGAAGATATATTCAAATATTTTTTTGCAGGTCTGTGTTTTCGATATCCTTTTCCTAATTCTGCATCATCTGTACTGCTATACTGAGAGTCCTCAGCAATTCTTCGAGCTTTTTCTATGGTATCTACAAAAAGCAATAAAACGAAAATCAAATATATTAAATGTATAATCATACTTACACTTTATCAAAGATACTTACTACAGTATTTCTCCACTGTGACATGTAATAGAGACCAGGTAGACTCATTTGGTTTAACACAATTTGCGATTAATGACGTTAAATTTTTCATATGAGCAGGTGGCCACCAGCAGTAATCTTCACCTCCCTTGTCAATCAACCAATTATCAGGTACTTCAGATACCTCATTATTGTCAAATATTACCACAGCAAAAGACATCTTTATAAAAATACAATTAAACTTCAAAAAAGAAAAAAAGAAACAACACAACATCACAATAAACTCATAAAAATATCAAAATTATACAAATAATTATTACAAAGAATTCATATGCGATATGTAACAATAATTATTAAGTTGACGAATTTCAGATCTTGTGTTGTATTTTAACTTTTAACATTTCTGGAAATAACAATAAAATAACATCAAAGTTATAATTTTGCACTCAACAATATAATTATTACATATAACATATATCACGATTACATTTTGTTGAATGAAAAATTATATAATTGATGTTATGTTACTGTTGGTGTTTACTACACAATAAATAAAAAAAGATTTTTGTAATATATGCAACAGTTAGATTACGCTAAATTGGGATTAGATAATTAAATTTATTGTTAGGCATAATGGGCAAATGATAGATATAAAATGCCATACACGTTTATATATAACCTCTTCTATATGGTTGAATGATAAATATAATTTAATCAAAACTTCTAACGTATTTTTATTCCGTGTATTTTAGTAATAAACATTTATAAATAATAATAATTTAAATTGCAAAAAAAATTGAATATAAACTTCATCAAATACCTCTGTATCTTCGAGGAGATAAAAGCGAAAAAAGAAGCTTCTATTCCCTGGTACGAGATAAGTACAATCGTCTTTTTTTTCAAACAACAGGACCTACTATATTTGAAGAAAAAGACGCTTGTCGTTATCTGTACCCGGGAAAATTGAAACTATAAAACTTGCAAAAGCTTCCTTTTTTCGCTTTTATTTCTTTGAACATACAGATTATTTAATTACATAATTTATATTAAACTTTCTTTGCAATTTATATTGTTACTATTATTGTTATTACTTTTATAAAATGTTTATTTATATAAATGTTTATTACTAAAATACACAGAATAAAAATATATTAGAAATTGATATAAATTATATTCACATTTATCATTTATAGTTGAATTATAAATTTATCATTTGCTTATTATGTCCAACAATGAATTTAATTATCTAACCCTAATTTAACATAACCTAACTGTTGCGCAGACAAATGAGTCTACTTGGTCTTTATTGAATGTCACAGTGGAGAAATTCTGTAGTTTTCACTTCCATACAAATAATATAGATCTTTTTAGCATTAAATTCAAAGAATAACAAAAAAGAGAACCAACTGTTGGGCATGTTCAACGTTTAAATTTGCGAAAGTACATTAATAGTTAATGTTCTAGCAATAAATAGTAAAATATTTTAAATGTTACATATATTTAAAAATGTAGCTACATTAACAATTACGTATATCAACGAAGAAACAAATACATAAATCAACACACAACTGAATCAATTATTGCAATAAAGAGAAAATTATATAACAGTTTATATATCTTACATTTTATGTTAAAAGTTGTTGTATTGTTATATAAAATTGCACTTTTAGGCACAATTTCTGCATTTTGCGGCGCTACGTTGGGCGTTATGTATTCGGAGTATTCTCAAGTTTTAAGTCGTTACACTCACAATTTACTCGCATGGAATACACTAAGCAAATTTCTGCAAAATACCTTACTTCTACATTTGGGAGTGAGTCCTTGGTCTACAAAAAGCAATAGCTCTACCATGTGGCCTCTTCAAATGTATCTATGAATTCTCAGCGTACTGGCACAGGTGCACTATGATTATTTAATGATGCTGCATTTGTATTAAAATTCTTAAGGATAATCAATAGCTAATCTTGATGGATCCCTGCCGAAAATGGTCGATTAAAACGGATTAAAAAAAAATGTAATCCGAATCGATCGGGATTTCTGCACCAAAAATGCGGTATTAAAACCAATTGAAAATAGTCAAATTGAATTTAGTACGCTTCAGGCAAGATTAATGTTGGATGATATATCTCCACCTCAATCCGAAATTAATACGATTTCATAAAGTTATAATTAAACCTGTTTTAATGCAATTGAATTGGAATTTACCATAGTCAATCCATAGGTAAAAATAATTCCTTTTAATAAAAAATTTTATCATTTCGCGCGTGGGCCGCCAAGTTGCGGGTGCACTATTGTATCGCGGATTGTGCTTAATGTGACGACCTACGGCAGCCACAATATCCATTCGATTATTTGTGTTTATTTGGATTGACAACAATATGGATTAGAATGTAATGATTTTAGATTGGAAATAATCCGCGAAAGCGATATTAAAGCCGATTATAGTTCGTTCGGAATTAAAATCGATTACTTTTTAATTCGGGCGCGGATTGAACCGATTAAAACCGATTAAAACCGATTAAAACGGATTATGTTTTAATCGGTTTTAATCGACCATTTTCGGCAGGGATAACCTAGCATATATTATATTTGTAAAAAATTTCATAATTTAGTGTTTCATAATTAAGTGTTATGCTTAGGTATTGCCGCAATTAAGTAAGAGAAGCTGCGTGTATAAATACATGGCATCAGTTACTATATAGTTGGAAATGTATATGCAATCCTCAAATAACGTATATATATAATCATTGAAATAAATTTGCTATATTCTATCTTCATTTTCAGCTTCATACATTATTTGAGGATTGCATACATTTCCAACTATATACTAACTGATGCCATATATTTATACATGCAGTTTCTCTTACTTAATTGCGGCAACACCTAAGCAACAACACTTAATTATAAAATTTTTTAGAAATATAATATATGCTACGTTACCCATCAAGATTAGCTATTGATTATCCTAAAGAATTTTAATACAAATGCAGCATCATTAAATAATTATAGTGTACCTGTGCCAGACCGCTGACAATTCATGGATACATTTGAAGAGGCCACATGGCAGAGCTACTGCTTTTTGTAGACTAAGGACTCATTCCCAAATGTAGAAGTAAGGTATTTTGCAGAAATCTCGCTTCCATGCGAGTAAGTTGTGAATGTAATGACCCTGCCGAAAATGGTCGATTAAAACATAACTGCTACAAACTGTGTTTACTGGGATGTTGTCATTTGATCATAATATTCAATCCGAAGTTGGCCATATCGCAGGGGCGAAAATGAAAAGATAAACCTTAAAATAAAATATTGGTAAAACTTTACAAAAGCGGATCCAGCCCCAATGACCTTGACCTTGACATATGTTGTCAAGGTGATGACCCTGAGCAACCTCCAAAAGGTTTTAGCCGTCGCTCGTTATTTATTAAAAAGTTATTAACAATTAAATTATACGATAAGAACAAGTATCAAATGCAAAAATGACGTGCGTATTTTAATCAGTCTGGTTTAATTGTTCAAATACTTGATCTTGCAAAATACATGCGTGGACGCAGTGGGTTCCGCCCCTCCCCCCCCCTTCGCCCTACGGGGGAGCTCCACTTCCGGAAGATATAACCTAACCCAAACCTATTTCTGATTTAAAACTAAAATTTGGTTTAAGTTAGATTATATCTTTCGGAAGCCCCCTGGAGCACCCCCGAAGGGGGGAGGGGAACCCACTGCGCCCACGTATGTATACTTTACAAGATGAAGAATATTACTAACTTACACTAACTCATGCTCTATTTAATGTACATGATGTCCAAAAATTGCATATAATTCGTAGAAATTCTTTTGTTAATAACTTTTTAATGAGCGACGGCTAAAACCTTTTGGAGATTATTTAGGGTCATGACCTTGACAACATATGTCAAGATCAAGGTCATTGGGGCTGGGTCCGCTTTTGTAAAGTTTTACCAAAATATTTACATTACTTATATCATACATCATTGTATTCGTTTCAAACAGTGCTACAACAGTTGCATAGCCCCCTCAATCCTTCGATTTAAATCCCTTGGACTTTTTTTATGGGGATATTTGAAAAACATAGTGTATTCTTCGCCGATAAATGACTTAAAAAAATTACGTGACCAGCGTGCTTGTTAAATAATTCGACAGAGACTTGGAATTTTCAAGAGAGTTCGCGATTCTGTAAAAAGAAGATGCCAAGCGTGTATGGAAATGAAAGGAGGACATGTGGGACACCTTTTGTAAATATCGAGATAAAGATTTAGACAGATTATCTTCTTCTCTCGTCGCATGCGACACGTAGAAGCCAGTAAATCAATTATGATGTTAACATATAATACAAAAATGTTTATATCTCATAAAATGGTGGAGCTCTCGACCTATGTTTACTAAGGTCTTTTTACTCAGTATGGTGTGTCCTATCTACCATATAAATATTGAATGGTTTTTTTTGGATACTGTATATATTTGTAAAAGAAGAATAAAGTTAAAATAAAGTTAGAATAGCCTTTTCTATATCTTAGATTAACATCTTATTTATATAAGATATAACATCTTATTTATATAATTATGATAAAATCTATTTGAAATTTGCCCTTTATACGCTGTTTGACGGAAAATAACCCGTCAGATTGACATAACTCTACTTATAGACCTAGTTTACACCGATATACTTTAATACGTATTAAGTATTACACTGGCCAATCATAGCCATTCCTCTATACTAGACTGCTAACAGCGATGTGACAGATGAAGTCAGGGCAGCCATTTACAATTGGACAAAACGGGTGCGTTCAGGGGGCTTATTACGGTTTTTGAAACAAAGTAAAAATTACAAAAGTGAGGAAATTTACTTGAGTATCTACAATTTCATTTGTCAAAATCTAGTAAATCTGTTCACTTTTGTAATTTTCACCTCGTTTCAAGAACCGTAATAGACCTCCTGGAGACACAACCGTTGAGCATCGCCTTCTCAACAGTCGACGTTGATTTGTTGGTTCTAGAAGTAAGAACCAATCATGTTTGATTGCTACTCAGGTTGTCTCCTGAACGCACTCAATATAACCTGTCAATCGATACTTACTTTTGAAGGGAAAGCTGCAATATTAATATAAAAGTTTTGTATATATTTAATATAAGTTATATTTAATATTGCAGCTTTTCCTTCAAAAATAAGTATCGATTAACAGCCTGATTAATTATATCTTGCTCAAT